ACCCCTGTGAAATCTCGGAAAGTTTTACAAGGATTTGCTTTCATACTCATCCAAACCTGGTTACAACTTGTTACAAGTTGTTAATATTTGCAAAATAGCATCAGTGTGAAATGGGTATTATTTGACAAAAAAACCCATCAGAAAGTTTATTTTAAAATAGAGGGCGTATTAAAATTATCAGAAATATTGATAGCGCTACAATTTTGTGCGTATCGTTGAGTAACGCATCTGGTATATATTGCGATTTTAGATGTTTATCTAAAGATAGTCCTTTTTCACTAAGAAAAATCATAAAAAATTAATTTGTACAAATTTTTCGAAGGGGCGTGGGCGAAAAAAATATGGAACGCTTCACGATTTTGCGTGTCATCCTTGCGCAGGGGCCATGCTAATCTTCTCTGTATCGTTCCAATTTTAGTATATGTACTGCCGAAGCAAGTACATTTATAGCGAGAAATATTATTTTTATATAGCCGCAAACATTTACAAGTTCTACCGTTGCGCGGTGTTGAATACTGTCTCTTATACACATCTAGATGTGTATAAGAGATCGATGTTGAGTGATTGACAGTCATTGATTGATGCTGACTGATTGATTGATAGATAAATTGATGAGGATTGACTGATTATGATTCATAATCAGTGACTAATAGATCTATTTTAATGGTGATTAATGAATGTTGATTGATGGATGAATGTTGGACAGTGATCGACGTTGATTGATTGACAGTCATTGATTGATATTGATTGTTTGATAGATAAATTGATGGTGATTGATTGATTGTGATTCATAATCAGTGACTGATGGATGTTGATTTTAATGTTGATTATGGGATGGATGTTGATGGATGGTGATTGATGGATGGTGAATGGCGATTGACAGACAGTGATTGGTGGATGGTGATGCTAATGAAGGAGAGTTTATTGTATTAAACAGATGATTGGCGTTTTACCCAGCTAACAATTTTAAATTGACATAAATAATAATGCAGTTTAGTTTTTTAAAAGGGGTTTTTTTTCCAGAACCATAAGTAAATTTTCTGACAATGCAAACCTTGCAACATTTGTAAGCATATTTTCTAACATAACCTAACAGCCACATTTGTGAACATTCTGTGTTTGCTGACTGTAGCCAGTAATATGTACTCAATTCTGTGCATCATCTACATGAAACACAATTAACATATGTAGCAATGCTCAATGAAAGGTAAAAATTCTACTTTTAGTCTTTTCACACTAGCAGAAAATATTACAACTTTTAACAATTATTAACAAGTTGTAACAAGTTTGATATTCCGAGATTTTTGGTTCGTTTCACATATGCACTTTTAAACCATGAGAAATCTCGGGAAAACTCGGAAGAATAATGACTAGGCCTAGGGTAGTACTAGTAGGCCTAGGCTAGTTGTAGGTTGTCCGAATTACATATCAACTACTAAACTAGGCCTGGTACCGAATTAACAAGATTATAATTATTCCATGGTCCTTAGCCTTCGGAGAGTAAAACGAATTCAACTCTTGGCTCGCTTGCTGTAGTCGAGCTAGCGGGAAACATAGGCCTAGGCTAGCTAGGCGCAGTCAGGCCGCCGGCCAGTAGCTCACAATTGTTGTTAGAGGCAACCAGTGCGACAAGCATCATAATGATTCGCTGTTGGCGTATTTTACGAAGCCTCGTGATTGTTTCTACATCAGACATGTGAAATTTAGCGAGATTTCTTTTGATTTTAGCTCTAGGCCTATTAACAAATGGTAGTAATGTTGATACGTTTTCCATCGCTGCCGCCATTCGTTCGAACTAAAAAAAAAACAACACAGCCCGCGAAAAGGTCAAAATATGGACATAAAGCATGCGCAACAACAACTTGGAAGATTTCGGGGAAAAAACAGGCCTCGCGATGGTCTGTTTTTGTTCCGAGATAACTCAGGGGACCCCTGTGAAATCTCAGAAAGTTTTACAAGGATTTGCTTTCATACTCATCCAAACCTGGCCTAGTTGTTACAAGTTGTTAATATTTGCAAAATAGCATCAGTGTGAAATGGGTATTATTTGACAAAAAAACCCATCAGAAAGTTTATTTTAAAATAGAGGGCGTATTAAAATTATCAGAAATATTGATAGCGCTACAATTTTGTGCGTATCGTTGAGTAACGCATCTGGTATATATTGCGATTTTAGATGTTTATCTAAAGATAGTCCTTTTTCACTAAGAAAAATCATAAAAAATTAATTTGTACAAATTTTTCGAAGGGGCGTGGGCGAAAAAAATATGGAACGCTTCACGATTTTGCGTGTCATCCTTGCGCAGGGGCCATGCTAATCTTCTCTGTATCGTTCCAATTTTAGTATATGTACTGCCGAAGCAAGTACATTTATAGCGAGAAATATTATTTTTATATAGCCGCAAACATTTACAAGTTCTACCGTTGCGCGGTGTTGAATATAAGGGCAATATTTGTCTGTAATAACTAATAAAAACCAAAGTTCCTTTCAGTATACTTCTACTAAATAAATAATTAAGAAATAAAATAGTTAGATATAAAAACAAAAATATTTAAAATTTTATTATATTTTATAATAGGTTTAATATAAAGTACATCAAACATTATGTTAATATTGTGGCAAGCGCATTAAAGTACGGACACCTATTTCATTTATTTGGGCCTTACTTAGTTCAGGATTATTTAGAGTTTGCTAATACTTATCACCAAATCAAAATAAAAATCTAATATGTGTGTACCTGTTATTGAAGCGTTTATTAAAAATAAACAATATATTATTATTAATAATTGTTTAGTATTAATATTACCTATGCATAATAATGGAATATCCTTCTGGGAATGCATTTTTGGCCACAGAGGGCGCTAGACATAGTATCTGGATTTTCAATGTATGGTTATCAGTTTCCTCTTCATATGAAACAGCTTTCGAAAATGCCAAGCAGCTGTAAAATAAAAGTTGCAAAGTAATCACATTACCTTTGACTTAATGGAACTTTATAAAAAAAATGTGTTCTTTTTAAAAGAAACGATTATCCAATTAAATAATGCTAAAGGTCACAATAAATCACAATTTGATGGGAACAAACATTTAATTTTAAGCATGGAAAAAATATATAAGCTTTAATTCAGTTCAGTGCATAATTTATCAATGAAGAAAAATATTTATGGACCTAAAAAAGATATCTGCAATTTAATACAACTATAAATATGCCATTAATAATTAATGAATAACTGTCAACAATAGGGCCTATAAATGTATAGAATGGAATAGCCTGCTTGAGATTCTGGCAGTAGAGGGCGCTATACGGTCACTAAATGGCAGTATTACAAGAGAGGCTGTAATATTTTTACTCACAACTGTAAGTTGATTCCAATAAATGATTTATCATCATAATGTGGAAATATCAATTGAAAAGTCAATTTCCTTGTTTTGTTCTTTGATGCTAATTTTGGCAAGGCAAGCCCCCATTTGTAGAGAAGTCTCCAGGCACTTATTAGAAGTCTTTAAAAAAAGTATAAACACAATTGACTTTAGTTGAGCTCAATAAAATTTTCAATTTTATTCAATAAAACCTCCAAAAATCATAAAGAAAAATGATAAAATACAGTATTAAAATAGAATTATAAGTGAATTACATCATAAACAATATAAGTAAAATCAAACTAATGGATAACAAATATAAGAGATTCACTTGAAAAAATATTTAAAAAATTTAAAAGGTCTTATGAAAATTAAAATTATATTTTAGACAAAAATCAGAAAAAAAAGGCAACCCTACCTGTATGAATGCCTTGGCCAGTGGTGGAGAGAAAGCACTTAATATGGTGCCTGTTACTAATCATAAAACAAATTAATTTTTTTATCACAGAAAAAAACAAGTCATAATTTACATAGAACCTGTTATGAAACAGTCACAAAATTAAAATATTTGATCTTGTCATCAAGGTATTGAATATTATATGCAAATATGTGATAAATGAGGATATTATTTCTTTTCCCTCAAAAATATTGAATAATATTATGCAATAACAGAGGAAAAAAAACATTATGAACTGTGGAATTTTAGCTTTAAAAAGATTTTTATTTACATTGGAATCAGATATTAGAATTTTGGCTTGAACAATTATGACTATCCTTAAAATCACATTAAAATCTCAGATAGCTAATAAAATTTGAATGCGCTAAATATGCTTTACCTGTCTACCGCCCTCTACGATCATATCAAGTACAGTTACACTAATCTGTCATCTGTGTTTTCACATGGGAATAACAAGATGGTTGTTTGCAAATAACATTGGAATTTTAACCTTCACAACGTTGACCATTGTGGCAAGTCACAAAACTCAAGAAAACTATTAAATGATGATTATTTTAAAACCCGACGACAGTATGGGTGAAAATTCATTCCTTCTCAACAAGAACAACCGAATCAGCCGGCACCAATCACTCAAAAAAAAAAACCCGTACCCTAAAAATAAAATGATTCTACAATAAACCGACACTAGCAATGTAGGCCTATACTTTCATTTCACTCTCAGGGTCTCAGTGCCTAAAGGTGAAGTTATTAACTGGTAGTTACATTATCATGCCTTGGAGTTAACTGCCTGGAATATGAGTCGAGCATCATCATCTTTGCATGTCGTTTTGTCGTCGTCGGGCGGGTTGGCTAGCTGGGTCATGTCTCCACGAGTCCCACCACCACTATCTCGTCAACACATGATACAGTACTAACATTTTGAACGGCCTAATAAGTACGGCAACTGGTGGTAGGCCTATCGAAAACATATTCGGTGAATGTGTTTAGGTTCACTGAAATAAGAAGGTTTCTTTATAAAATGTACTGACTAGGGCCTATTTCATTAACCAACAAGAATACAAATTAAAACTTACATCCAACGTGATCCACGCACCACCTGGAAATGGCCAATAATAGGCCTACTGTATTTCGCCCTCGACTCGTCTGTCGTCTGCATATCTTCTTGGCAGCATCCAAGCCACTACTCCGTGATTGGTTTATGTGTGTTACCACAGACCCTTATCAAATTGACAGCCAATCAAACTAACTGTGTCCTAGAAAACAACAAATGTGGGTGGAAGGGCTGACCACTCGTAGTAAAAGCAGTGGTAATGTTTTTGTTGTTTTTTTTAATTAAAAAAAAAATACCAGCAGAAAACAGATGATCACATGGTTATTATGGCTAATGATTAATAATAAAAATAATTTCGTTATTGTTCGTCCAAATTAATTTATTCAGCTTATTGTAAATATAGAATATTTGGTTTGTATTGTTTTTCATCAAGGAGGTGTTAAGCTTAGATTAGTTTTATTTAACTATACCTTATCACCTTTTGTCAATATGTTATTATTATAAATATTGTTGTTGACAATAAAGTTGAACTATAATTAGCACCCCCTAACTAAACTTAAAAGACAAAATAATTGTTGTCAAAAATTATATAAGTATACAAGGCAGTAGAGTGGGTGTAACTTTTATAATGATTATTTAAGTGAGTAATATGTAGTACTGTACTATTTTTATATATTACACTGGGTTACTTACCTTGCCGGCTAAATTTTGCACTCAAGACAGATAGGTGCAACGGAAATTTTGAATGCAGTACTACAGAGACATGGTTACTGAAATGCATTTTATTAACTTGAGAAAACGGTCTCTAAATATAATCCAATGTTTGCCTGTTTTAGGGTCGGGTCCACCAGATTTCTCATATTTTTCGTTAAAAGGGTCAATTTTTTAAGAAAATGGGTTCAGATTATTCATATTTTTGCATAAAATGTGACAACTTTTATGAAAATCGGTCCTCATTATTAAAATTTACGCGTAAAGTGCAGGTCCACCCTGATATTGTCCCACACTGTTTGAAATTCCCGGCTACAGCATTGCATAGGAGTAACACCCTACCCCCAGACCAAGTCTATGCGACCCCTCTTCGAACTGAAAACAGACCAGTTTTTTTTGTGTGTTTTTTTTTGCGTTAATAGGCGCTTTAAAATGTGTATGATTATTATTATTTATTACACTCAAGCCCCATCGACCACGACTTGTCGGATCAAGATGAAAATTCTTAATTTGTTCTGAGACCTCTCAGAACAGTTAAAACGCGGTTCTTTGCCCCTAAAATCCAACATTTGCTACTGACCAGGCCCTGCAAACCCTGTCTCTTATACACATCTAGATGTGTATAAGAGACAGTTATAAATGTATACAAATACATATATATATATATTTATCGTTGGAGAGTTTCCTCCCGAGATTCCTGCAAGGAGGCCTTTTCAGGCCTAAATAATTAATCCCAAAGCAAATTATTGGTAAATACATAACTTTGAGCCTACAATAGCCCCCCTAAATGCGTTAGTGTGGAAATATATAACCGACCAAGCCAGGATCCGAAGGAAAACATCTTGTTGACTGATTTTTCTATAGACACAAAAAGCATTGACGAAAAATCGAAAGCCGCGGTTAATGACAGATAGATTTTTTAATATTTAAAGACTGGGGGAAAAGGGGGCGTAACCACCCTTGTTTGCACCGCTCCCAGTTTTTAAATATTTAAAGATGAGTTCTACAACATAATTTTGTTTTTCCTCCGGAGCATGGCCTTAGGTAACATCCTATTTGAGTCAGGACTCGCAACTCTTTCAAGACATAAAGCAGACCTCCTTTAACAATTAACTTAATCAGTCGCCACTGTGGCTAAGGGACGTATCCAGGGGGGAGCCGTGGGAGCCGCGGCTCCCCCCCCCCCCCTTTGTACACAGTGTTAAAATTTTAAAGCTTATTTTTGAGCCAATACAAATTCTTTCCTGGGATCACTCAAAGTGAATACTTCTAAACATGTCAATATGCATCAGTACACGTTATATATAGGCCTAATAGAACACATAGGCCTAAGCGTGATTAAAAAAAAAATCTTAAATCCATAAATCTCAGGCCAGGTCTTTTAAGATAGAAATGTGATACTGTGGTTTAATTTCGTTTTTATCCTTTTGCAAGTTTCTTTAAATGTTTGTTTAATAATACTACTACTAATAGTAATAATAATAATAATAATAATAATAATAATAATAATAATAATAATAATAATAATAATAATAATAATAATAATAATAATAATGATAACAATGATGATGATGACGATAGAAATAATTGATAATAATATTAATAGCAATAAAAAGTGAAGAAAATTGTGCTAAATGCGAAAAAAAAGTTGTGATTTGTTTATCATAGTATAGTATATAGTTAAAGCTTAGCAAGCTATAATTAGGCCTAAGTTGTTCTGGATATTAAGTAGATCCCTGATAAAAAATCATGAGAAATTTGTTGGCGTTTCATTATTTTGACTATAATGGTAATGTGATGATGATGAATTTTACTATATAAAAGTGTCCTTTCCGGCCATCTCGAGAGGTACTATTTTCTCAAATTTTCTCACCTCAGCCCCAGCCATGGTGGGGCTGAGGTGGTTGTGAAATCACGTTTTTGAAGTAGGCCTATTTAAAGTACATACTCAAGGACAATGTTTTAAGCTTTGTTTTATATGATATATCACACACACATTAATAAGATCTCTATGGTTGTCATTTTTTGTGATTATGACTATTTTGGATAAAGAATGTTTTGAGCAGAGGTGGATTCAGCCCCCCCCCCCCTTCATTTTTTTAAGGAAAAAAAAGAAAAATATATTCAAATTGTGCGAGTGTAATTTCCGGCCATCTAGAAATGCCCTAATCATAAATTTTCTTACCTCAGCCCCAACCATGGTGGGGCTGAGGTGGGTGGTTCCTCGGTCTGTGAAAGTCCCTCCCTGGTTCACCTCTCTTTCGAATTCCTGGATCTGCCACTGTTGATTTATTATATATTATAATTATTATATATTATAATTATTTTTGCGCTTATTTATAATGCGTCTATTGCAATTTTCACTTTATTCTCTCAAACAGTCCTAAGAACGTTCAGAGTGCGCTACTTCACAGGGGGTTCACCCCCTTGACCCCGCCGGGGTCCTACGTAATTCTCATAACGGCGCATAACGGCTTCCCCCCCGCCTTTCAAAATCCTGGCTACGAATTGCGTGTGTCACTTCAATTTCAGAGTTCACCATTACGATAATAATATTATTATTCCTACTGTCTGCACTGTATTTACGTTTTGTTGGAATAAAATCGCCATCGTCCTCGGAATTCATTTTCATCATTTCTGGGGAAGTCTCGCATGTAAGCATGTATGCATTAAGTGATAGAGCGATCGAGCGTGTCGAACGATTTGTGGTAATACAATTCATAAAACCTTGCTGTTTGTGACCGCTAAGAAGTGACTACCAGCCTAAAGAAGACAGCTTTATGCTTAATAATAATGTACAGTAGCTACCCCTTAGTCATATTTTTCTTACATTCATAACGTACACAGTACGTACATTCATGCTATGTACTCAACGTGGACGTGAAACCTTTTAATAGGCCTATCTTTAATTAGTGCAATTTTAGGTGCTTTTATTTTTGTTCATCTGAAAATAAAATTTGAATGATACCGCCGTAATATATACGCAATTTGCATAAACACAAAAACATTAAAGAAATAATTAGGCTATTTGACACTCTATCGACCGGACCACACAGAGGAGAGTTTGAATAGTTTTATGTTTTCAAAACCCTTTTTGGATTGTTGTTGGGAATGAGTCGATTGATGATAAACTAGACTCAGCTGGCTGGATCATCGCGACCGACGGCAATCCGACGGACGTAATGAAGAAAGTAGTTTTATTATAATTATCGATTGTTCTGAATCTATAGAAATGGCTGAAGATATTGAAAGGTTGGATGATTATGTGTCAATTTTATTTCTCTACTACATAGTTATTTGTAGACTGCCGTGTACTGTATGAACTAGTCAACTCTGTTGCTAGCCTAGCTGGGCATCCCAGGCCAACACCGCCGGTTGTGGTCCCGTGCGTGGCCTAATCTAGTTTGTGACAGGCCTAGGCTAGGATTAGCCTACTGGCGTATACTGTCTACTTGTAGGCCTAGGCAGAGGGGTTTTACCCCTAAACTCTTATCTTCCATTTTATGAGGCCTACCAACCAATGCCCAGCAAGCCTTATTTCATGGTTTAAAATTATACTTAGGCCTCTAGGCTAGCACAAATTTATGATAGTAATTTTAATGAGCTGGTCACACACTGACTGGTCTGACCTGGAATTGGATTTGAATAATATAGTTTAAAAGCACTAAAATTGCACTAATTAAAGATAGGCCTAATTAAAAGGTGTCATGTCCACGTTGAGTACCATACATGGCCTAAATTATTTATTAAAAATAGGTTATCCATTATTTTATTTACACCAGGGATACTGGCAATTAATTGACATGGATGGAAATTCAAAACAAATAATTATTATGTTGACATGAAGTTTTAAAAAACTGTTCTCACAACATAAAAAATGAAAATTGTTTACTTGGAATTATTATTAATAATTAGTAACGAAAGAAAAAAAGTTGGGGCCTACACACAATAAAAAACCATTTAACTGATATCAAATTCTTCCAGTAAATTTCAGTTTTGTTGCTGAAAACTACCTTATGACAAGTTTATGTAAAAAAAAATCATTGTTTTATTGTGTTATTACTCTGCAGGCTAGCAATGGAAGAGCTTCTACGAGAAACTAAACGTGCGAAAGAGAGAGCTGATGTAATGGGTGCTATGGGATGGTAAGTGATGTCTTACAGCCAACTTCAATACAATGGTTTTTTTCTGCTAAGCCCTGGAAATTGTTGTTAAATTGACCACGTAAACATACTGTATCATGATTAAATGTCCCGGAGGCATTTTTTAGGGAGAAATATTTTTAAAATTTATAAACTGTTGGGCTATAAATTATAGTGTACAGATCAATTGTTGTACAGATAACATAGTAGATGTTTCCCATCGACCATCTTGGATTTTGCCATCTCAAGAGTGTAAAAAAATTAGTGGCCTCATTCCCCATTTTTCAAAATACAGTATTAGGATGAGAAATTTTTTAGTTTTTACTTGGCCTAAACAACAAAATGATAATTTCACATGCTGGCAATATTTCTAATCCTAGTGAATGTATTTTTTTTCCCAGTATGCCTTTCTTTCATCTAATACCGTGTAGAGTACCACAGTCGTGTGATCACAATGCCAATCGGCGCTCTCTGTTGTCAACAGACGTAGGTTGCCGTCCATTACGCCTGAATGACTGCATAGGCTTTCTGAAATAGGCATTTTAAAATCTAATATTTTACCATCAAAATGTACTAAAAACACAAAAGCTCACATTCTATTAGTTATCGAACACACATTTAATCATCAGTTAAAATTTACAAAGAAAAAGTAATATACAACATCTTAATAATTACGTTAGAAATTGCGATCAATAGTTTGTCAGTGGAAAAAATGGCGCCCGGTTGAACACATTTTGCAACGATAGCAACGGAGTAGTATCACGCGGTATCGTGACGTAGCACTGTAGTACTCTATGCCTTTCTTTATGTATACACATTTTAACTATTATAATAATTAAAAACCCATTATTTTTGTTGCTACAAACCTCATTTAGTCAACTGAATTTTACTTCTCTAAACCAGATTTCTATTGGTTCATGATGAATATGAATGGTTTAACATAATATTTATTACATGTTTAATATTCAGCAATACTGTTATGTATGTTTATATTTTGTAGGAAAAAGGGCATTGCATCTGCTAACAAGACTTTCTTAGCGAACACCTTAGTGAGTACCCTACGAGATTACCGACACTTGGACAGAGACAGGAAGCGCTCTTTGAGAAAGCCATCCCCAGAAGACAGAAAGAATGGTCAGCAACAAATGACAGAATCGGGAAAAAATGAATCACGTCGGGGTCTTTCACCAGATGCTGACAAGATCTCTGAGACAAGTGAATTTGATAGTAGAAGTCGTAGAAACAAGAGATTGGAATCGCCAGACAGGAAACATAAGAAGTGGAATTCTGCGTCCATCGATAGAAGAAGTCGAATAAAAGGGGCATCGTCGGAGCGCGAGAGAAAAGATTCGTTTAGTAAATCATCTTTAGAAAATGAGAAATATGATGTTAAAAGGACTGATGCCCAGAAATTAGACAAAAGAGAAAACAAGCGAAGAGAATCCTCAGAAACGCATGTGAAAAGTGACAGGAAGACTACAGTTGATGTAGACTTCAGAAAATCGAAAAAAAAGGATACGTCTTTTGATAGTAATATATATATTAGTGACCTTGCTAGCATACCCTTGCCAGTAGAAAATGATACTAAGAAGGTAGTTCCAACAAAGGCAGAGAGACCAGATGATTTAACAGTACCAGTAACAAAAAATGAAATTACAAGCAAGCGGACTAAAAAAGAAGAGCATACAAAGGATGTTGAAAAGGAAATATTGAAATCCGAAAAGGAAACTGAGGATTATATTGGAAGAAGTGATTCCAAAATACCTCACATCGATGATGAAAAAAATGCCCAAACAAGGGCAAAATATCATGGAGACGTTAATAAGAAAGAAGGAAAGGTAGCTGAAGTTAAAGGATCTAAAAGTATTGTACACAAGTCCAAGCGAATAAAAACTGATAAAGAAAAGGATAGGCAAAAACGAAAACGAAGAAAAGATAGAGGCAGACATCACCACAAGCATAAAAAACGCAAGAAGGACCACAATTAGTTTTTAATTAAAGCTCTGTCCACACTATCAATTTTCTTTGACAAAAAACTGTTGTATGCCCATATATCGTCGCTCACATCATGAACTAACACAATCAAAGTAGATTGTGTTAGTTCGTAAAACCACAGTAGCGCGTCAAAACGTGAGCGTATTGGTTGTCAAGTAATTTTGTATTCTTTACCACTCAAAAAGTCCTTAACAACAACAGCGCGTATTTTGATGCGCTTTTTTGATTTCACGTACTAACACAGTTGAATTTAATTGTGTTAGTTCGTGATGTGAGCGACGATATATTCATGATGTGCCCATATATAGTCATGATGTGCCTATATATGGTCATGATGTGCCCATATATGGTCGTGATGTGCCTATATATGGTCATGATGTGCCCATATATAGTTATGATGTGCCTATATATGGTCATGATGTGCCCATATATAGTCATGATGTGCCTATATATGGTCATGTAGACTTGCCTCAAGTCTCTTATTTTTATTATTTTTCTCATTCTGGACAGCGCCACCAACAAGAAAGTTAATTTAGAGACAGCGACTTGTAAAACACTGAAATCAGGCACCAGGATGCCAAAAGAATGACGTAATCTTATATTCCGTATTTGGATAAATGGGCGGACCGAAATAAACTATTTTAACCAATCAAATGTTCACATTTTTGGAGCCACGAAACTGAGTCACATGCGTCGACTAGTGAGGCATGACTAAATTTAAATAGTCCTTTCCCTAATAAAATATTTAGAATAGACCCTAGTAAGACTAATTTTTGCAATGGCGAAAACAATTAAGCTTAGACTAGATGGCATACCATACAAAAACAACAAAACTTTAACTTTCCAGGAGGATGGCTCAGGCCTCTTGAGTCAGAAGTAGTAGGCCTAGCCTAGTAGAGGCTTCTTACTTACAGAGGCCTACTTTTTAAACAATATTCTACCGTAAAGGCCTAAATCTGTGTAGCAGCTAGCGGT